TACACATATGTCTAACCAGATAAGCCATTTGTACTGTAATTATACAGAAAAATATACATAAATTTGCATACAGATTTGTAACGTGTCCTTCTTTCGCACCAAATACGGAGTACGAACATATCTAGTATTAGAAACGTTTCCAAGGTTGCTAATTTTTCGTATAAAAGAGAGTTGATTCGTTTTCTATCATCACGACCATTCAGTTTTAAGCAACATAGATGCATCGACAAGATAGACTAGATCGTTAACGATTATGTATAGTTATACTACTCGTTGCCCCTTACCCACTGTTCTAAGTATGCTGTTTACTTTCGTTAGAGGGCAGTTTTCGTTTAAACTCCTAGTCCATATTGACAAGAATGCTTTTGCTTTATTAGAATACTTATTTCTCGTCTGCATGTATTAGAAAATCACGTTTTTCTTTGTTCTAAACAGTTCAGTTTTACCACTTTTATTTTTTCTAAACAACACCTCAGATTCGAAGCAGTGATGCATAGTCACTGCTGAATGGGCGAAGTAGGAGGTTTGAGATCGAACATCTTGTATTCTTACCAGATTGCGGTCAAAAAATAGTCTTTTAATTAACGCATGTTAAACAACATCCAATTAAACGCACTGGCTGGCATTACTAGACATCTTTATGATGCGAAATGTACTAATGCACGCATGTGTGTCGTTTCTGGTCACAACACATCACACATCGAGGCAATACATCATGGGAGTGTCACCATGGCCTTATCACACCATAATTACGGAATTATTCTACATACTCTATGCTATCTCGGGGGCGGACATCCGGGCATTTTCACCGCCTGGCAACCCGCGGCGGTGAAAACAAAGGCCCAAAACTCGCAGAAAACGGTACTTTGGGATGATTGTTGAGACTCCTCTGACCAGTGCAACAAGATTAGCCCTACGTGTGAAACATATATAAATTTGGTTGTTCGGGATTACTTCAAAGTCGAGTTTGTGTTGTTTTCTCGAATTTTCACCGGCTCGACCGGCGTTCCACAGCAGCGCGCACAGAGCCCATAGAAATACATGGTACAGCGGTGCGCGTCTTAGCAACGTGGAACGTCTTGTGACGTAGCTCCGCCCCCGAGGATATACTAGTGTATCTTAGAGATGGGTTTATATATAGTACATCAGGTCATTAGTCGCCTTGCATCATTTCTGATCATTGCAATGCCATACCATTATCACACTGGCTTGACATGAATTTTGGGCGTGTTGACTCATCGTCCTTGAATAGAGACTCGACGACCCCAGAGGATTTACTCGAATCAATGCCCTAATAGAAACCGGTTTTTTAACCGGTTGTCGGGAGACTGTACTCCATTCAACCAAAGGACACACGCGCGTTTAAAGAGGATAGATTTGCCAGAAATAAAATCACTGTAACGCTTTGAAAGCATGGCACAATCTACCCTACACTGTTAAGCATAGTATCGACATCTGCCTTTGTCTATTGACTTCCGGACGCGGGTGTATGCCACTAGCTAGAAGTAATGATTAATCGCGTTTCATTAGTTTACGTTGAACAACACAAAAACAACTCATCACGATGTTAAATGAAGCGCCGTTTTATGACATCAACAATTGGAACTACCGGTACATTATACTATGTGGTACCAATAGTAACATGTATTCCAACAGAAAAAGGACCGTTCTGGGTTCCTACGTTTCTCAAGCAATTTTATTTTATCAAATTCATTGGTTAACAAGATTTAATAAAAATCTAACTTTTTGACGTTTTCCACTGAACAAGAACATTACTTCTAACCTCTCTTGTCATACGTGATACATGTGTGCAAGTTGTTTTGGTCGTACCCGCCAAACACACAGACCCAGGGAACGACAAGTGTCCAAGGAAATATGCCGTTTCAATTGCCATAATTAATCTCAACATCCGTGATCGTTTGATCTAACCATGGAGGTATCTGCTTATACCTCCTCCATCTAACGTAGATCGTGTTTATCGTTTTTTTATTAAGACATGGAGGTTTAAACAGAAGGAGTCACAACTGGTTTAAGCCTATTAAATTTCCTGTTTATACCTCCATGATTAAGATGACAGACGAAGTGCGCCGAGGTAGACATCGATCTGCAATTATCTATAACAAATCCGGCTAAAATATTTCGTTTTATCTCCATCTCTCCTAAAATGTTCTCACAAATTTCTCAATGTCTCGCCATTGATTCAACTTACTTTTATTGTCGTTGTTGTTTATTTGCGTAGTGCTATTATTAGATAGGTAGCCAGAACCCAATTATACCAAAATATACTAATATGCAATTTCATTATTGAAAATGGTAGGTAAATGTAGATGATGAATCTATCGGGTGCCAAGCTAGCATTCTTGAAATGCCTCTTTCCTGCACTGGAAACGCAAGAGAAACCAGTCAGATACTATCAAATGATACAAATTGATGATATTATGTCGCATTTCTATATGTATTTCACATAGTAATAATCGACCCATGCACTGCACAGTGGAGCCAATCAACCAGTGTCCCGAGAATGACGTTATTTGCCACACCGTTTGGTGAAATTAAAAACATGTGTTGCAGTAACAAATACACATATTATCAATATCACAAATTTCAAATCACTGTGCAAAATATAAAATTATGTTGATTTGCATTTAAAACATATCACAACTTACCCAACGGGCCGACGGGGGCAAAGTAAGCAAGAAGAATTAATTTATTACCTCAATAAATATATATTTTAATATAGTACACATTATGATACAATTTCTGATTGTACATATCAGAGCCCATATTAAAAACTTGATGCAATACACATTCAAATGAATAAACTGCTGGAACAGAACAAATACATTTATTTATTTATTTATTCTGACAAATAATTGACATGAACAGGAATTTTATAATTTTTTCCATTTTTTACTTACTTACACTCTATTAAAATAATTAAAAAAACAATTCCATGTGTCAACAGTTCATGGCATAGAAGCTGATGTTACTCTCAAAATTAACATAGTTACGACCTTCTACATGTTATTATGTATACTGTCTATGTTTTCCTGTATTGCAATGTTGAGTG